TTGTGCCCTCCATCTTTCCCAACATTAGGGTCTTTTCCAGGGAGTCTTCTCTTCTCATGAGGTGGCCAAAGTATTGGAGCCTCAGCTTCAGGATTTGTCCTTCCAGTGAGCACTCAGGGCTGATTTCCTTAAGAATGGATAGGTTTGATCTTCTTGCAGTCTCAAGAGTCTCCTCCAACACCATAATTCAAAAGCATCAATTCTTCGGCGATCAGCTTTCTTTATGGTCCAGCTCTCACTTCCATAGATCACTACTGGGAAAACCATAGCTTTAACAATATTAAGCTATGGTTAAGCAATATTAAGCTATGGTTAATTAGCAATATTAGACCACATTTAAAAACTACTTAGAACAGCTCAGTTGGTTAGAATATGGTGTTGATAATGCTGAGATTGCAGGATCGATCCTTGTATGGGGACAGCTGCATATTCCTGCATTACAGGGGGTTGGACTAGATGATCCTCAGGATCCCTTCCAACTCCACAATTGTATGATTCTATGAACATAAAAGGGATGTGGGTGGTGCTGTGGTCTAAACCACAGAGCCTAGGGCTTGCCGATCAGAAGGTCGGCGGTTCAAATACGCACAACGGGGTGAGCTTCTGTTGCTCGGTCCCTGCTCCTGCCAACCTAACAGTTCGAAACCATGAGGTGCAAGTAGATAAATAGGTACCACTCCGGTGGGAAGGTAAACGGCATTTCTGTGTGCTGCTCTGGTTCGCCAGAAGCGGCTTAGTCATGCTGGCCACATGACCCAAAAGCTGTACGCCGGCTCCTTTGGCCAGTAAAGCAAGATGATCGCCACAACCCCAGAGTCTGTCACGACTGGACCTAATGGTCAGGGGTCCCTTTACCTTTATGAACATAAAACTATAGAAATAAGGTGGTTCCAAAAATATTCATCTGTCATCAAAAGAGGTGCGTATAATGAAAGCTGTACAACGAAGTTGCCAAATCAGTTATAATGATTTGGATCCTGCATTATCCAGGCACACAGGAGGATCATGCTTGGATCTGGAAAGGGAGAAGCGGCTTGAAATAGTGGTGATCTCATTGTTGCCTGGAAGGGATTAGCTTTCTGTCCTTTTCAAAACAACCACGTCAACCTAAGGGAGTCAACACCTGTGGGATGGAGCAAAGCCACCAACTGGATTTTGCTGCAATCACATGGAGCCCTCCTAAGAACCAAAGTTTACATCCATGGGGCACAAATTCTAAGATTTGCACAAGCTCTGCAGGTCAGAAGAAAACTGCACACATGGCAGTGGCTGCACATACATCCTTGTGCCATAATCCCTCTTACAATGGTCTGGAGAGCCGAGCCTTTGAGCCAGAGCCCTAGATTGCAAGCCTATAGCCTAGGGGTGGCAACCTATAGCCTAGGGGTGGAAAATATTTTAAGCCCAAGGGAGGCATTCTATTCTAGGCAATCTTCCAAAGATGCCGTCTGGGCTGGGCTGCGCCAGAAGCAAAAGTGGGCAGAGTAATTGATGAAATGTTACCTTTGTACAGTAGTTCAAGGAGACCAAAGCCCCATCAGCTCAACTGGTTAGAGCATGGTGCTGATAATGGCAAGGTCACAGGTGTGATGGGTACATATTCCTGTATTGGAGGGAGTTGGACTATATGATCTATGGGGTCCCTTCCAACTCTCAGATTTTATCAAAAATACTCAGGATGAGAGGTCGGGCCAGTGGCAGATGTGGCCTGGAGAGAGGGATTATGGCCTGGGACAGTTCTGAGTACAGATAGAGAGATCTGGAGGGCTGCAATTGGGCCTGACTTTCCCCACCAGTGCTATAGCTGAGTAGTACTTGCAGTTCTGGTTGCTTTTGGTGGCAACGGCATGCGATCCTGAGATTTTCTGCTTGAATGTGCATTTGTTTGTTTGTCTGAAAGAAAAAATGCTTCTAATCTTTAAGACTATAACCTGCATTTTCGAAATCCCTCCAACCATATTTGAAAAATTGGCAGCAGAAACAATGTGGGTCTGACCAGAGGTGTAAGGTTGGAAGCCAATCAGGACCTGAGAAGCACATTTGGGGACCTATGAAAAACAGCAGAGAAATAGTAGAGTACTATCTGCTCTGAAGTTAGCAGTGTTTTTTGGGTGGCTCCGAGTGAAAATATTATCTGCCCTTGGATTTAAGATTCCTGGTTTCTGGAGCTTTTGCTGTTGATACCCAACACATTTGCATTATTGCTAAGCTTATCTCAAATATTGGACTTCTCTGCTGAAGCCAAGAATGATTTACTTCTAAGTAATTCTATTCAGCTCACTGGGAATACTCCAGAGTAAGCAGGCTGTGGACTGCACCTTAATAGGGAGAGAAAAAGTGGCCGCCTCAGTCCCCATTGTTTGCTGCAGGTTTTTCTTCTCCGACTATTGTCTGCCTTTCCCTTTGTTGTACATAGCAGGTGTTTCTTTCACTACCCCAGAGCTGGCAACACAACGGTTTCCTTTGTGGTGGCTCCTTGGAGACTTTTGATTAAACTCTTCTTTGTGGCAATGATGCCAAATTGCACATGGAATTTGTGTGTACACAAATGCCTTCGATTTCTTCTTTCATGCTCGCTGCTTAAGTCTTTCTCGGCCTCTTGCTCTTCCCTCGATTATCCTTGTGCCTCACCCTAGCTAAATCTAAAAACAGAACAAATGGTCTGCAGACTTTATCCCGCCCACACGTCCATTCCCTTCCCCCCTCAAAATATCTATTATGGGGAAGGGTCCTAGCTTACTGATAGAGTACATGAATCGCATGGAGAAGGACCCCGGTTCAATCCTGAGCATCTGCAGGTAGGGCTGGGGGCCCAGTTGCTGTAGACCACTGGTCTTCAAGCTGGGTTGCAACAGGAGCGCTACTACCATGAAAATATATGGTGAAAGATTAAGAAATGGATCCCCCAATACATGTGAAAAGTGAATACTGGGTCTGAAAAGGCTGTAGATATTTACTGCAGACAGTACTGAGCCAGATGAGCCCAATGGTCTGACTTGGTGTGATGAAGCTTCCATTGTCCCTATCAGTGCTGTTTAAAATCTCTGAAGTCTTAAGATCCAAGATGACAACAAAACGTTACTGATTAACATAATGTTTAGGGCGAAACCAAAAGGGGAGGTAATTTTTGCAGAAAACAAGAACAACAACAACCCTTATCGGTGTTTAAAGATACCCCACTTGTGGTGTGAAGATAAATAAGAGTGTTCACCTATTTAGGAAGCATTTCTCTGCTCTATGTCATCAGTTCACCATCTGATCCAGTCCAGGAAACATGGCTCCCATTTTAACTTGGCTTCAATCCCCGCTTGGTGTCATTAGCATGTAGTGACACCTGCATAGCGGCATAGTGCCCAACAGTGGTGCCAACTTGCGAGGGAGATCGAAGGGGCAATGATGTGCGCATGATGTTGCCCATGCAATGTCAGGACATTGGGAGGAGCCAGGGGGAGGAGCCGAACTCGGCAGCAGCACAGCTTCAATGGCTGGTAGATCCTCCTCGCTGCTGCCATCTTTCCCTTACACTGCAAGAGTAGCCACTGACCACTAAAGCCATGCCACACTTGGCTCCATGCTTGGCCTCCTCAATCCCCTGATTTTATTTTTTATGGGGGGGGCAAAAGAGCTGGGCCCCTAGGAGTTGGTACCTATGGTGCCGGATAACTAACCATGCAATCCCTGATTAGCTGGGATCACTGGTAAGGAGAAATGGGCCCCACTGGAAAAGTGGCATTGAAACAGCAGCAGATGGGGGGGTCAAACAGGTTTGAGGGAGGACTTGGTGGCACATTTTGTGGAATTGGGAATAAATACTTCAGCATCTTGAAAATCAGTGCAGGAAAATATTTTGATATCACTGAGGAGAATGGAGGAGGACAGACACAGAGAGAGAGACCTACATTTTATCCTCATACAAGCTGGGATAGCTTAGTATGCTACCATTAGCTTGTTTACAGGTAGTAATGGGTAAAAGCACAAGACACACTACAAATGTTGGTGTTGAATTCAAATTGCTGTACCCCCTCTGGTTCTGAAGCATTGTTCTTCAATGGAGCTTCACCAAGCCTAATATCAGGGACGGAAATCAGGCCACAAATGCACACACAAACACCTCCCAAATAAATGTTAGGCTACGTTTCCAAATAACCTGCCACCTAACTTACAGGTTTTTCAAAAAAATGCAGGAAATTACACAAATAAATGAAAAAACCGCTGTGGCAACTGTATTATAAGCACATGAGAATGAATAAGAGCATCACTCAGATCACTGAAGACCCTTCTGAATAATAATGATGATGATGATGATGATTTGACTAATCTTCTAAAAAAATCAGGATAGAGTCTACCAGAGGGAGATCTCCAGGCAGTGCCAACCCTAGGCAGATTGGGGAATCCACCTCATGCAGTAGATGCTGGAGAGGCAGGGGAAAGCTCCCCACCATTCCTCATGAGCCCCTTAAATATGCCCACCCTGCACTCCCTAAATTAGCTTGCTGTTCCCAGGTGGGGCAGAGGGTGCCACCCCATCACCAGTGTTGAAGGAAGATTGCCAACCCAGTTGGATTTCATATGCAGAATGGGAGAGTGCCATCTTGTCCTCTGCCTCAGGCAGCAAAATATATTGGTCTGGCCCCGTGATCATAGAAGTACTTACACAAAGCTCAGGGTGATTTATTCATTTATTTTTTAAAAAATGCATACATTCTGTGAATTCAGCAAAATGTTTCAAAGCGAAAATAGAAGGTGCCTGCTGAAACTGTTGGAAGAGTCTTCTACAGGACTGGGCCGGTGGCACAAAGAGGTCAGCTTCATGTCTCACTAATTCTGGGGATGACCAGTGATGTTCGCACAGATGTTCTCAGTGACAGAGCTGAGATAAAAGGGTTTGGGAACTCCCTAAAGTTCCATGGACCCAAGTTGTTCAGGGATTTGTGAATCAATATGAGGACTCTGAACCTGGCTCGGTAGTAGGTGGGCACCTATTGCTTAACAGTGGTGTAGGGTGTGAGGGCGATCTGGCTGCGACATCTGTCACCCCATTGATCGCCAGGGTTGATTCGGCTGATCTGGCTGGCTAGGCGGGTGTCCCCTTCCTCCCTCACCGCTCCATGTGCGTCCCTCCCGAAGCTGCGCACTTGGTGGAAGAGGACGACCATCCCAGATAGAAGGAGTGTACCGTTCTTCAGTCAAGGGTATACGATAGCTGCGCTCCCCTGCTAGAACCTCCAGACAATGGTGTAGCCATGTAACAACTGTGTCTCATGCTGTCGGCCAATATGCAGGCTGGCTGCCACCTTCTGCACCAACCGGAGCTTCCAGACGAAGCCCACATAGAACACATTGCAGTAATCCAGCCTTGATTACTTCAAGTGATCCCCTACAAGATGAAGGATGGATACCCAGCCCTGTACATCACCCTGTCAAGAGCGGGAGGTGTGCTCCCAAACTGGCTGAGAAGCCGGCAGATTCCACATGCTTTTGTGACTTGGACTTGCTTCCTCTCAACTTCCGTCTTGTTTCTGTGCCCCCCGCAGTCATATTATTGGCACCTCATGTGGTGTTGGGATTAGCCTTCTCTTGGGGAGAAGGAGAAGCTGGTGTTGTTGGAGACCAAGGAACTTATCAAGACGGTGCAAGGATGTGGCTAGGCAGGGGAGCTGTGTGAGTGACACCCAAATCCCACCTGCCCCCAGAATGAGCGTCAGGGCTGTGTGCCACTTTGAGGAGTTCCTTTTGCATTTGAAAGGCTGATTTCCTTCCTGTTGGGACTGTCTCTCAATGGAAATGTCAGAACCGAGGAAGGATAAAAATGCCTGGTTACAGAAAAGCGAGAAAAGAAAATGCTCTGAAATCATCTGTCAGGCTCCATGTTTTCTGAGCTGCTGCATTAGCAGGGGGACAAAGTCACGGTGTGTTGACACGTACTAATGTGCAGTGACATAATACCTGGAAAAGGGAGACAGCAAAGAGGGACAAACTTATCTGAGTTTTTCACAGGAAAAGAGGGGATTTAACTTTCCTGGTTAAAATGTGGATTTATATTATATATATATAATTTTCTTTTGTAAAAAAAAAAGCCAACTGCATTTACCCAAGTTTGACTGAGATAAACCTACTCAGATCTAATTCTCTCCAGTCCTTGTGAAAAGTGGACCTTAAGATCCTGAGCTTATTTGTCCAAATCCTCTCTCCCCCCCCCCCGGCCCCTCTGTAGAATTGCAGATTAGGGTAGGGAATTTGGTCCTTATCGCTAAGGTTCTTACAGTTTCAGAAGGCAAGTGAAACGCTTAGAGGGAGAAGGACACTTCCTTGAACTCCTTCCTGGTCTTCACTTAGATTATGGAAGAACGCGTCAACTGTATAGATATCCCACAACGCACCAGCCTCTTCATTTTTGCATATCTCAGTGTAGCTCAAGAAATATAATCTCTTTATTCCCCTAAACTGTCAATTAAGTTGTAGGAAACTCAATCTCTCTCCCCTCCATCCTGCTCTTATGGATTTATGATTTGGCTGTCAACTCAAATGCATGCTCTTGCATTCAATTGCCCTGGCTTTCTTCTTCTTCCGTTGCTGTAGCCTTAGGCAGACTTTCTCATCCTATAAAACAGGCTTCCTCAACCTCGGCCCTCCAGATGTTTTGGGCCTACAACTCCCATGATCCCTAGCTAGCAGGACCAGTGGTCAGGGATGATGGGAACTGTAGTCTCAAAACTTCTGGAGGGCCGAGGTTGAGGAAGTCTGCTATAAAATAGGCACAAGGTGGTTATTTGGCTTGAGGTCCCCATGCCTGATGTACTAGACTCTGAAGGCCTCTTTTCTACCCTGCCCCCATGTCCCCTCTCTCCCTGTGTCCTGCATGGCTTCTGCATCATGGTGACTCTTGGAAGGAAAGCAAACAGGGGAGCGGTGTGGCTCAGTGACAGAGCCTCTGCTTTGCATGCAGGAGGTCGTAGGTTCAATCCTTAGCATAGGGTTGGGATAGACCACCCCGGGTGGAATTCAACATCGTGCTAAGGCAGCCGTTCCTTCAGTGCTTGCAATTTCTCTTGTCAGACAGAACCATCTCACCTCTCCTGCCCCCCTCCCACAATTCTGGGGTTTCTCTTTACCCTCACAAGCAGCTTTGAGGAGACAAGGGGCACATGGGGAGGAAGACGAGGCAAAGGCCTAGGACCCTCGTACCTACGGGACTGCCTCTCCTGGTATGTCCCACGGAGGACCTTACGGTCTTCAGATAAAAACATCTTGGAGATCCCGGGCCACAGGGAGGTTAGGCTGGCCTCCACCAGAGCCAGGGCTTTTTCAGCCATGGTTCCGATCTGGTGGAACGCTCTGTCACAAGAGACTAGGGCCCTGCGGGACTTGACATCTTTCCACAGGACCTGCAAGACAGAGCTGTTCCACCAGGCCTTTGGCCAGGGCACAGCCTGACCCCCTCCTTTGGCAATCCTCACAGAACTCTAGCCCAATGGTTACCATTAATTTGATTCAGAATTGATTTTAGAATGAACTGATTTTAGAATGAATTTAATTTAATTGATTATGATTTCATGTAAACTGTGTTACTTTTACTGTTGTTAGCTGTTCTGAGCCCGGCTTTGGCTGGGGCGGGCGGGATATAAATAAAATTTTATTATTATGTTATTATTGAAGTCCCATTGCACTTGTGGGTCTTATTGCATTGGCTCCCAGTAGTGCAACAATTCAGTGGAATCCTCCCCCATGTACTTTCTCTTGTCTGTCATGAATCCTGCAAAATTCAGCTGCCACTCAGAGTTCACAGCACCAATAGCTAGACCAATAGCTAGTCTGACCCAATATATGCCACCCTCCTAGAAGTCTGTATTTTCTGAATGCTTTCTTTCAGGTTCGCTGGCTTTCTTTTATTTGGGATACTCCAAATCTTTTTTTTTAAAAAAATAATTTATTATTAAATTTTCCATTTTAACAATCCGATCAAATCACATTAAATATTCCAAATTATACTAATACATATCATATAGTCCAAATATTCTGCCAAATTATAATTTTTTATTGGGACTTCCCATGCTTCAAGTTCGGAGGGCTCTAGGGATCTTCCAAATCTATAGCAGTCAGAGATCATCTCTACTTCATATCTTTTCAGCTGTGATTCCTGAATTGCAAGGAGTTGGACTGGATGATTCTTGAGGTCCCTTCCAGCTATGATTTTTCTCCCCCTTTCCCCCTTAAAGATTATTTTTACCCTCATTCATTATTCTTTTTTTTTCAAAAAAAAGGTTTGTGAGATTTGGATTATCAAATCTTCCAGGAATGTGATTGTGTTAGTTCTGTATGATTCCTTCCCCCCACCACACGCACATATTTCATGGAAAGGGCGTGTATTATAACGCTTCAAAGAAGGAAGAACCAGAAGTGACAATAACTTGTACATAGTTGGCATGGAACCTCGCCAGTCTGTTGGCTGCCAACACTCATGATTTTCTGACGATCTCGCATGCAAATCTTCCACTAATGTGCTGTTATTCTTATAATCTCCTGCTGCTGAAATAATGAAAATCACTTCGTGAAGTATAACTTTCTCCTTTCCATTGTTGTCAGGTGGGGTGGGAGTAGAAGTGATTACCAGATTATGTTTTGAAGTACGTTACGAAAAAAGAGCTAAATTAAAGAAAAATAAGCTGCATTTGTCTAGATTTCGAGGTGTGTGTGTGTGTGTGTGTGTCTCCTCTGGAATGTCTTCCTCATGCAATTCATGATACTCACTGTTTTCTTCTAATGATGTTATGGAAAAATCAGGGGATCGCTGCTACAGCCCACCCCTCACTCAAGGGACTTGCGATCCTGTGGGGTCCAATTGTCTGTCAGCAGTAAAGCAAGAAGCTACAACCAGGTATATCCGAAACCAGGCAGCAAGTAAGCCTGATCTTAATTTTGTTGCATCAAGGTTTCCACTTATAAAATAGCAAAAGAAGAATCCCTGAACAAAGGGTACAACGCCTTTTAAAAGTTTTGTTCCCCCCTAGAAATCCACTCCCAAAAGCGTAATACAAATGTCGCAGGTTGGCTGTAGCAGCGATGCTCTGATCTTTCCATAACAATGCTTTGGGTTTGTTCATTTTATTTAGTAAAATTTATTTATTTTATTTAATGAAACCTTAAATTTAAAGGACACGTTTTTATTTATTTTTAATTTATTGCATTTATATATAGCTTGTCATCCAAAGATCAGTGTAAAAATACAAAATGAGGAGACAAAATGCATAATAAAACAAAAAGAAAAGCAAACCAATACCCCCCCCCCAAAAAACCCCACACACCCCACATTTAAAATGCCCATAGAATGTTACTCATCCAAAGACCTGGTTATAGAGAACCTAAAGATGTATAATGAAGGTGCCAGGCCAGCCTTCTTGGGGAGACCATTCCACAAAAGGGGAGCCACCACAGAAAAGGCCCATTCACCCTCCAGACTTCTCATAGGGGAGACACCTGAAGGAGGGTCTCAGACGATGATTGCAGGGTCTGAGTCCATTCATTTGGGAAGAGGCAGGTCTTGAGGTCATGAGCCATTTAAAGTTTTATAGGTCAAAGCCAGCACTTTGAATTGAGCCCAGAAACTAATTGGCAGTCAGGCCAGGATTGGCATAATAAATTCAACCCTTCTTTAGGGCCATCAAAACTTAGCTGCAGACAACCCATAGTTACAACATGTTACGGCATTTTTTAATGTGCTGTGATATCATATGTCCATTTGTTTTTTGGCTTGTGATGTTATGGTGGTTATCTGTGTGAACCGCCTAAAGATTTTTAGATTAAGTGTGCACAGAACTGAAGTGCTATTCATCACAGGTAGGATTTCAAGACAGGATACGACCTCAACAAAGTCAGATATAAAAATGAATCCAGTGTATTACTGTTGTTAAAATGTAGTTCCAAGTTATCAATAGTCATAATAATCGGGGCTTTTTTTCCAGTCCGAACTCACCAGAACTCAATTCCGGCACATCGCAGGTGGGTGCCATTGCCATTATAAGAGAACATGGTGAGTTCCGGCACCTCTTTTTCTAGGAAAATAGCACTGATAATAATAAAGAAACACACTACACACTTAGAAAAGTAGCAGTATTCATGCACAGCACACTGCTTGCTTCTTTCAGTGTGCATAAGTGTGCTTTCAACAGAATCTCAACCTTTGTACATCACATTTTTAGTGATGGTGCAAGGCAAGTAACAAATATTTAAAGGCACATTAAAGATCACATTAAAAAATAACAAAACATTCCCAAATACTTTCCAGTTAGCAACAGATCCATTGTACTGGTTTGTGGTTTGTACTGGTTTGTACTCCCAACAAAGCTTAAGTACCAAAATATTATGTCCCCTGCACCTTCAGCCCTGAAACCCAAGTTCTTTTCTTAGTGAAGAGGAGGTCTTTTCTTCCACTCTCCCTTTTTTTAATTTAGTTCACCATGCATGTCTCCTTCCTTTCGTCTGAGAAACATGTTTGTGGAGTGGCCAGGCTGTCTGATTCATTATCTTCTGCCCTCAGTTCACCTTGACCATTGTTCTGCTTTCATTCAGTGCTGGCTGCGTTAAGCCCTGCTAAATGTCAGCGGGGGACCTACCCACATTGTTGATCCAGATTGATCTGCTCCAGTGCAGGGAGAGGGAGAGGGCGGGGGAGAGCGCCTCATTCACTGAGTCGCTTTCTATTGCGTTCTGGAAACTGACTTACCTGCTTTCATGAAAAGCCAAAGGAGAGTGGAAAAAAGAAGGAGAGAGAAAGAAAAGAATGAAACTCAATATTCCACTTATGTAAGCTCAGCATGTTCTTAACAAATGCAAGCAGATGCGTCTCACTCGTGTCCATTTCCCCCTTCTTCCTTTAACTTTCTCCCTTTTTAAAAGAAAAAAATAATGGTGTGATAATAAGGGGAGAGCAAAGATGGCAGCAAAAGCTCACCTAGCAAATGAACCATTTTGGGGTTTGTTTGTTTTTTGTAAGGCAGAATCTCAGAAGGGAGCTGGGCACTTTTGTTTGTTTGTTTTAGAGTTTCGGTGCAATATATCTTAGCGGAGATGCAGCCTTTGTTGTGTGTTGTTGGACTCCAGTTCCCATCATCCCCAACCACTGGTCATGGACAGCCAGGTGGAGGGGGGAAGGAAAGTGGGGGGCAGTGGTCTTCCCAGTTGATCTGTAATCCCCAGATTCTCAGCTTTTGTTAAAAAACCAAACAGGAAGTTTCTAGCATTTGTAGAACCTGAGATATGAGACAAAATATAGTTCTTCTGTTTTTGTGAGGAATCATCCTGCTCCCTCATTTCAGTGTTTTGCTCTCTTTTCTTATCTATTGGGGGGGGGGAATCCTGAAAATGCACATGCCAGCAGCCGTGATGGCTGGTTGTGATGGGACTTGGAGCTCAGCAGATTCTGTAAGGCACCATATTGGACGCTCCTTGTCCACACTGACCAGTGGAGGCTCTCCAGGACTTTAGATGGGGAACATTCCCAACCCTATCTGGGAATGCAGAGGACTGAACTTGAGGGCATTCTGCATGCCATGCAGAGGCTCTGTCAGGGTTTCCCAAATTTGGATCTCCAGCTGTTGTTGTTGGACTACAACTCCTATAATCCCTAGCTAGCAGCACCTGTGGTCAGGGATGGTGGGAGTTGTAGTCCCACAACGCCTGGAGACTCAAGCAGGGACACCGACTTGTCCCCCACACATCACGTGATGCCACCTGGCATGCGCAGGACGCATGGAGGGGGTTCTTCGCGCTTGCTCAGTCCAGCCGTTGCCAAGCTCCTGGGCTGCTGGGCGGATGCTGGGACAAGCAAAGGAAAGATTTTGGTCCTCCCAGCCACCGCCCGGCTCCTGGGCTGCCAGGCTCATCCTCACTCATTCCAGCTGCTGCCCAGCTCCTGGGCTACTGGGAAGAGGCTGGGGTGCAAAGGGTGCCCAGCAGTGGTGGTGGGTGGCAGCCCCCCCCCCATACCCAGTGTGCTGGACTCAAGTTTGGGAAGCCCTGCTCTGTCATTGAGCTTCAACTGTCTCCTTTAACTCTGAAGATATGTGTCTTTGTATCTGTGGATTTTTCCAATTCCCCTCTGCCACATGTGAACTAGTTCCTTGGGGAATCTATACGCTTATGATTTAGTAGGATTGGATGTGCTATTTATACATAGGTGTGTGCCATATATATATATATATATATATATATATATATATATATATATATATATATATATATGCATGCAACGCACATATATACATACCATACGCTTTAAATCTGCAAGTGCAACACTGTTCAGATACTTTTTCTTCTCGCCCTCCTTCAGGCTAAACATTGAAACTGCCACCGTGAGTTAATTAAACACCTATCTGAAGATAAGCTGTTGAAAGGCAATAAAATAAAATGCATGTCATGTTTCTCAGAAACAGGGGAGGCTCTGTTGAGGCAAGCCAAGAATATTACAATGTGACCATATATGCAGTTTCTTCTCATAATCCAGCAAGGCTCATCTACAAACAGGATCAGATTTCTGCTTGAGAGGTTCACCTGCCCTTCACAACCTGTGTTGCCTAATATATGATTGATGTGAAACATCCAGTAGCTAGCAAAAGATGGGTCCTTCATCACAAAGAGGGGGGAAATTGGGTCCATTACTGGATACATTCCTTATGGAGAAGGAAACTTGATTGACAATACTGTTTGGTTAGGGATGGACAAATCAGTCAGTTCCAGTTGGTTCTATTTTTGGATGTTTTCACTCATAAGTCCACATCCTGTTTCCACATTATTATTACTATTACTATTATGAGTTTAATTAATAATAATTTCATATATTGCCCTTCACCCATAAATCTCAGGGTAGTTCACAACATAAAAATACAAAAATACACCAATAACCTCTCCCCTCCCACAACACGTTTGAAAAGGTGTTGGATGTTAATCAGCCAAAGGCCTGGTTGAAGAGGAATGTTTTCACCTGGCACCTAAAGGTGTATAATGAAGGTGCCAGGCGAATCTCCCTGGGGAGAACATTCCACAAACGGGGAGCCACTGCAGAAAAGGCCCCGTTCTCGTGTTGACACCCTCTGGACCACTCATGGAGGAGACACACAAAGAAGGGCTTCAAATGATGATTGCAAAGTCTGGGTGGGTTCATATGGAGAGGGGCAGTCCTTGAGGTGTTGCCGTCCTGAGCCTTTTCAAAACCAGAACTTTGAACTGGATCCGGAAACGAATTGGCAGCCATTGCAGTCAGGCCAGGATTGGTTTAATGGGCTCAAGGCATCTTGTCCCAGTGAGCAATCTGGCTGCCAAATTCTGCACCAGCTGAAGTTTCTGAACTGTCTTCAGAGGCAGCCTTAGATATAGCACGTTGCAGTCTTCTAACCTAGAGATTACCAGAGCATAAACATTAGGCTATCCTTGTCCAGATAGGGGTTCAGCTGGGTCACCAGCTGAAGTTGATGGAAGGTGCTCCACACCACTGAGGCTACCTGAGTCTCAAGTGACAGCAAAGTATCCTGCAGTATCCCAAAGATGCATTTTCTGCATTTGGGTTTCAAAATAGGCCTGCACGACAATGTTATATAAATACACATTTTCTCTCAAAATATAAATTTCTAAATGCATTTTCTCTCAAAACAATATTTTGTTTCAAATATACATTTTCTAAAATGCATTTATATATGGAAGTGTAAAAAATCAGTGGATAACTAAAGCTCCTAATCTGCATATTTATCCAGGTTGCGTGGCAAGGCCCCAAACCCTCCTGAGATGTTGAAATAAAGACACATGAAACCAGTATTTTAGGCTAATGGGCTAAAAAACGCCACAACTTTATTGGTTACAGAATGTGAGTGGTATTGGCTTAGGCATTGGAAATGAACAGACTATATCTGACTTCTGCCCGTCTGTAGGAAGTCTCAGAAGGGTTAACCACCAATAGGGGGAGCCCTGCTGATCCACATCAACTAGGAACTCCCCCAGGGTCACCGCTAGGGGTCGTGCCATGGCCCCAGCCCCTGTCTGGGCTTCGGGCAGAGACCACGCCCCTCGGATTCCTTTAACGGAATACCCTTGGATAGGTGATGGCCACTACCTCCCCTCCCCTCCAACCAAATATGGCCCTGTGGGTTAAACCACAGAACCTAGGACTTGCTGATCAGAAGGTCGGCGGTTTGAATCCCCGCGATGGGGTGAGCTCCCTTGGCTCGGTCCCTTCTCCTGCCAACCTAGCAGTTCGAAAGCATGTCAAAGTGCAAGTAGATTAATAGGTACCGCTCTGGTGGGAAGGTAAACAGCGTTTCCATGTGCTGCTCTGGTTCGCCAGAAGCGGCTTAGTCATGCTGGCCACATGACCCGGAAGCTGTACGCCAGCTCCCTTGGCCAATAAAGCGAGATGAGCGCCGCAACCCCAGAGTCGGCCACGACTGGACCTAATGGTCAGGGGTCCCTTTACTTTTATCTTTAACCGCCAAACCTTACAATGATGTGACCAAGATGCTCAGTGATTTTCAGGTGAGGAACGCGATCAGGGAGAACGGGATGTAGTGATGACCACCTGGATAGCTTTAAAATAGGGTTAGGCAAATTCATGGAGGAGAAAGTTATCAATGGCTACTAGTCACAATGACTGCATTTTCCCTCTGTTGTGAGAGGCAGTAAAGCTTCTTGTTGTGCGTCTTGTTGCACCCAGGCCTTTTGGGGGGCTTCCCGCAGACATCCAGGATGCTGGACTCAATGGGTCTTGGACCTGATCCAGCAAGTCTCTTCCTATGAAGCAAAGCTACTGTTGTCTGTAGCAAGGCTCTGATCCTGCAAGCTCTTTCCAGCTCACAAATGCAAACACTGTTGAAAACAAAGAGGAAAAGTTGTTTAGCAGAGATCAGCACTTAAAGCAATTCACAGCCACATTTAGTTCCACCCTTTATCTTAAGCTGATTTGAGATTTGTTGGTGGCTTGCAAAACAAACAACCAAACTCTTTAATTTTAATTCTCCCTGTGTCTCAGGGTAGTATTTATAGCAAGCTACGTCTCCCGACAGGCTCTCAGGCCCCTCTGGATCCTTAATTACTCAATGAGATTTAGATTTAAACCAAATGGGATGAGATAACAGTTTAGCCCTGTCCTCCCCGTTGTGTGATCAAAGCAAGGCTTCACAGTATAAAATTTATATAGGTGAGAGTTTATCTGGGTCTTGATGTGAAGACCTTACTTGTTGAAAAGAACAAATGCCCTTGAGTGACAATTTGATGGCAGTCTCTTCACTGAACGTAGAAATATGGAGCTACATGTGTGTAACCCCTTGACCTAAATCAATAATTAAGAAAAACCCACAATGATTAGATAGTGGTGATTTGTGCGTCTTAATCTCTGGCTAAAATGACTCTTAAGGAAAGGCGCCAACCTTAGATGAACTCATTATCTTTCCCCACAAACCCTTCACCATTTCCTGCAATCTTCATTTCTATGGCAACAAGCGTTTCATACGACACCTAAGGCCTCAAATGAACTCACACGGTGGCCTGGTTTGCACATCACATTAAACCGTAGTTAAAAACAAACCACAGTTTCGATGTGCATACACAACAACTACTGCACGCAGCTTTAAAGCTCCTCCTCCATTCCTTATGTGCTGCCATGAAATAAGTTGTTGCTTTGCTCCACCAAAGGGAAGGAAGCCAAAGCCTGGATTTTCATTTCTGAACCAGGGTTTGTGGTTTGTTTCCTCCAAATGCCATATGCCATTGTGTTTGCTTGTTTGTTTTTGGCAATGTAGCACCATTACGAGCAAGAAAGGAGTGGGGTGCGGACTTCTGAGCAACCTGCTGCTCATTCACATTAAACCGTAGCTTGTTTTTAACAATGGTTCAGTGTGACATGTCACAATTGGGTCACACACCCTTCTCATCAGTCAGCTACCAGGAGATGTATACAGGACATCCTGTTTTCACATATTTTAATATTCAGAGAATTTTTTATCATGGTGCCATAGTTCCACAACTGCATATTAAAATGTTTGTGAGAAATTCATTGGCCTCAGCCTTAGGTCTCCTCCTCCTCCTCCTCCTCCAATGAGGGAGATCCATTTGAAGATAGGTAACAATTTTAATCTTGATTGCTTGAGACACCATAGCACTGTCATCATTTTTATTGAATGACTTCTTGAGATCATAACCTACATTCAATGAACAATGTAAGGGAAGGGAAGGGAAGAAAGAAACCGAAAACAGATGGCAGGTACTTGCTGAAAGTTTTTTCGAAGAAGTTTTTCATAGCCCTGAAATATTATAGGGTATACCTCATTGGCAGATCACAGAGCTCACTTGCAGATGACCCAAGGTTCAGTCACTGGTATGTCCAGTATTTCAAGCAGCTAGGCTGGATAAAACATCTAAGACCTTGGAAAGCCTCAACTGGTTATTAAAAACTCAACTGGTTATTGAGCAAAATAAATAAATACTGATACTAACCTTGGAAATCTGGTGCAACTTGGGAGTAGCCAGTATTCATTCAGTCAATGAGAGGTGGGGAACCTGTTCCCTGGCCACCATTGTCAAGGATGATTGAAGTTGTAGTCCAGCAACATGTGGAGGGCCACAGATTCCCCATCTATGGACCAACAGTTTCTCTATACAAGAGACTCATGTGTTGATGTTTGTTCTTTAAAGCTATGTGACCTAATTCTGAACTCCACAGCTCTCTCCAAGAGCCCTCTGCTCTTATAGTGGGGTGGGAGAACTGAAAATAATGCTAATATATTTCACATCTGGCAACCAACACGCCCCTTTGATTTCAGATAGTACATGGGTAGATGAGTCTAAAAAGCCCGGGACACAAATTTTCTCAGCCCTCTTAACAGCTATGGTGGCTCATTTACTAGAAGTAATGTATTTAGTGTTAAATCTGGAAGTGCATACACAATTCTGACCAAACTGAGGCTTAGGCAAAGGGGCTCATTGGTTGCCAGATGTTTTGGGGTTTTTTCAGCTCTCCTAGCCCACTATTATGGTGTTTCCAACCTGAGCCTGCATGGAGCTGTCCAGGGTGCCTTGCTTCCATGTTGTTCTTAGATTGCTAAGCAGGCATTAGGAGTATCTTGCCATTCCCCGAACAGCTGCAGTAACTCCTGTTCCATTTCAGGACGTGGTTCAAAAGGCTGGTGTAGACATTTAAAACCCTTCATAGCTTGGGACGGGGATACCTGAGGGATCACCTGCTGCAACATCAGCTTGCTCGTACTCTTAAGG